GCTCCCCCGCCGCCCCGCACGGCCAGGGGGCCCCGCGGAGCCCCGAGGGCGCCGCCGCCGCCTCTGTGCCCTTTCCCCCACCGAAGGGGCAGGGCGGCGGGGTGACCCCATCTCGCCGCCTGCCTCTCCTGTAGCCGCTGCTTGTCAGCCCTAGCCCGAGGGAAAGGCTGTTTACTTCATCTACCCATATGCGGTTGCCTTTCCGTCCCCACCTCCCCTCTAGATTTCTCTCTTGCCTCCCCATGCTGTTGGATTAACTCATTTTTAGCAGTTTGCCCTTCGTTGTTTTGCAGGAAACTAAAAGTGACCCTGTCCCTTCGGGTTCAGCGTGGCAAGATGAACAGGAAAATATGCACTGGCTGATTTTTAACCAGGGCTAGTGGATCAGAGGGTAAGGAAGAAATGATTTACTTGGCTTTATCTTTAGGCGAAGAGAGGAAGGGGTCACAAACAGTGCCAGCACTCGCTCTCTACAGAGCAAAGGATAAGAGGCAGCAACTTCTGAAGGGATCGAGGAAGTATTAAAAAGCAAGAACATCCCTCCAGACTGGGGTCTTAGGAGCTGGATGAGCCAGGAAAGTTTCTGAGGTGACAGATGGGGAGAGTGTTCACATATTGCAAAGACATGACTCTCCAACATGTATGTGGCATCACAGAAGCAGGACTCATTAGCAGATTTTGGAATTTATTAGTTGCAGAGAGAAAATTGAAACTGATTTTATTGTGATTTTCAGGAGTTCAAAGTGATGGATGACAGGATAAATCAAACAGGTGTCCTTTGGAGGATAGACTACTGTTCAAGAGTTATTTTTAATTAAAGTTAGAATCTCAGTCTTAGAATACTCTCCATGAACAGGATCTTTCTGCTTTGACTTTAAAATTGTAGCTGCTCTGATTAAAGCTGACATTTCTTTGCACTCTCCCCCTCCCTTTGGTTCTTTTTTTACATTTTCATGTGTAGACCTGGATATAATTGTTTTCTAAAGCACTTGAAAATGTGGCCAGCTTCCAGTGGCTGTCAATCGTATCCAGCTATATGATTAGGTTAAACCAAGAATGTGAAACAAACAGTCCAGAATCTTTAATGGATTTTAAAGTTAGGCCACTTATTTTACCAGCAGATGTCACTGTGTTTAGTAGCAATTAATTACAGAAGGGATTACAGCTGTTGGAGTAAGTAGCTTATGCAAGGATGCCCACTTTCAAATTTGTTTCCTTTTTACTTTTAACTAAAGTGGCTAAAAAGCTTGAAAATATGAATAAACTCCTTCCTCCTCACCCCCCCCAAGACTGAAAAATGAGAGGTAGATAGACATAAAAGTAATATCTAAAAGCCCCCAAGTTATAAACTTGAATGAATTTGAGTAACCCAGAGGGTTTGCAGATTGGACTTGCTGATGTGGTGGGGTGTCAGTTCTTCAACAGATGCATACTTTGTCCGGCTAAAATATTTTTTGAATTTTAATGCTTGTGCTCGTAATCACTAGCTTCTAAACATTTGCACGTAGAAAGTACTGAAGTACTTTGTTGAAACAGAATATTCTGTATGTTCTGCAGCAAAAACTTTTTCAAGTAATTTTTTCTGCTGGTGGCAGAAGATTTATATGTTTATATATGTACATATATATACACACACACATATATATAAATACCACATTAAAAAGTTGTAAGATGCTGTGGAGCTAAATGCCAAAAAGATATTTCAAATTATAGATAGTTAAAAGATGAAGGAAATATTTCTTATGTATCAAAGTGGGAATTTTAAGTAGGTACAACAAATGTGTTTCATTTCTGACCACCCTAATTTATGAAAGCTCTGCCTCTCATTTGTGCAAGATTACACACAGAACAAATTTCTCAGTGACCAGCCAATGCAGCTGCTAGTGAAAGCTTTTAGAGAGTATAGGCCTGATTAGTTGAACAAGTTGGATCATTGCCATTTCAAAGGGTTCCAAAAGAAAAACAAAACATTTTGCAAATAAATCATATGCTTTAAAAGAATGCTCCAAAAGATGTTTATACGGAAGTGAAAGATTAAGAGTGCTTTAAAGAAACAGGGGACTGCATCACTGAAATAATACACTAATTCAATAGATGAGGATAATAGGACAGAAAATTATGCTCATCCATCTTAGAAAAACAAAAGCAGATTTATATGCAGTGAGAGAGATTTTGTGGCTCACTATGAACCTCTTCCTGAACATTGTGAGTAAAGGACATTTCTGACTTGTTTTGGTACTGTATGTGGTCAATTTGCCTTTCTCTGTCATAGCTTCATTTTAGTGTGTGATTTAGAAACTTCACACCATATGTCCACTCTTGTGTAGGTAAGGACCTACTTCTTGCTGACGGTTTGCAGATAGTAATTATAATCTAGGTTCTGGCATTTGCTGTGTTGTCGTATATGTTTGTCATCATCTTCTAACTCCTCCAGAACTACCTTTCAGGAAATGAGATACGTGTGTTTCAAATCAACCTTTGGAAAAAAAAAAGTTTAATGCTTACAAAATTTTCCAACTAGAATTCTCCTTCAGAGATGGCATATATTTTTTCGTAGGTGTCAGGTAATGCCCTTACAAGTTTATTAACTGTGTTTTAGTACCCTTAGCACAATGAGTGTGCCCCATCTAGTCTGATGTACTTGCATGCATCCAGCTGCACAAAGTAGTCCCTGAACTGTCGCTGCCCCAGTCTTGGCTGTCCTGCTCCGTCCCAAACTACTGGTACAGGCAGAGCCCTGCGAGCAGACTTTGCTTGTAAAGTCTGGGCAAGAAATGTTGCCTTCTGCAACTTTTTATATTATCTGGGACTAGATTTATTGCCCTTCAAACAGCAGATGCACATTTTCCCTTGACTGCCTTATGCTATTGTCATATTTGTAAAATTTCTTCTTGATACCCTACATGTTTTCCACTGTTTTTAGTTCCAGCTGAGTTTTGACCTATCTGATTTCTGGGAAATAAAGGGTGAAAACGAGCAGTGTCAAACAATGGGTATATTCTTTAATAAATATTTATATGGATTGTCTTTTTTCAGGAGCTGGTAATTCTGAAGAAAACCTGTTCATCATGGCCTGTGCTGCTATTTCTGTGGGTTTTACTATTCCTCAGTTACTGAGAGGTACTAGTAGAATTTTTCCCACTCATTCTGCATTGGTGGTCTTGAGACACTCTGCTTTTTGTTACTGCACAGTGAATGGGTAGGTCTTCCATCTACAAACATGGCTTTTTTTTTTTTATAGACTATCATAATAGCACTGTCAAAATGAAGCTATAAAGCTATTATCTGTAAATACTTGATTAATTCCTGTTTTTTTATTTTTTTAATTCTTACTTAGTCTTTTGTCATATGGAATGTAGGCAAATGATTATGTTAATAGAGATTTATATTGTTAAGGGGCACTAGCACACATGCTAAAATGACAGTTATCTTTGCTTTCTGTTGCAGCACCACAAAATCAAAAATAAAAATGGATCATCTAGAGAGAACAGCAAATAATTTTCGCCAGGAGGTTAGTGTCCTACTCTGTAGTATACTTTTATTTTACGTTGTGCAGAAACTGGATGCATCTGTTTGATTGTTAGGCTTCATTGTCTCTTCCACAGGAGTTTCTGTTACATTTTCTCCCTCATTTTTCATATATGACAATGTTGTAAAACAGGTATGTTTTGAGATCAATGGTGAAATTTAATGAGATATAAAAATTGTCAGTGACTTATGTGATTCTGTTTGTTACATGAGAAATTTAATAGAACTCGGGTGAGCTATGGAGTAGGGTAGATAATGAAATCATACTACTATACTTGACCTAAATAGGTCAAGACTTAATTTCTTGCATGTAAGTTTTCTACGTCAAAATAACTATTTAAGTCATGTGTCTGTTGCTTGTCTTGTTAACTTAGAAGGATTGCATTGCCCATTTAATTCTGTCTGCTAAAGTGGAAAAGTATGCTACTTAAAACTGGCAAATGTCCTGCTGTTTTATGGGACAGTAGACGTGTTCAAATCTTGTTTTATGAAGAAATTAATTTCCTGTCATGTGTTTTAAATTAGAGCATAGTTGGCTAAAGTTTCATTGTGTAAGCTGTTTGATCTTAAGCAGATGAGAAGTAAGAGTTGTGGTGGTGTTCTAGCATTTCCTAATGTGCTAAATGTCATTAGCATTTTTTAACAGAATAATTAAATTAATCCCTATAGAAAGCTATTTAGGGCGTTACTACTGTCTTTTTAGAAGAAAATAGATACTAATCATAACTCAAAAGTAGCAGAAAGGAAGAGGCAGGGCAGGTTTGATGATCCGTGTGCTGCCAATTAGCATTAGGGAATTTAAGTAAGGAGCTCTTCTGCAGTGGTTCATCCTGCTACAAGGTTGCTTTTCCTTTAGAAAAGTGGTATCTTTCCTAACTTGTTTTTCTTTCTACTTTATAGATTATATGAGATAAAATAACTGTTTTTTATATCTAGTCTCAACTTTTCCAAACAAAAATCATGCAGCTAGCTAGAAATGAATGCCAGTGTCACAGTTTCCCTGTGCTCATAATTCATATATGTGGTCAAATGTCTGTGGGTGTGAATGGGCAGGTGCAGGTAAATGCACTGATGTAAGCTTTGTTGGGTTTCTTCAGGTTGGTAATACATTCAATTACTTAAAAAAGAACAGATACAGATGCAGAATTCTCCCTGTAACTTCGCTAGCAGCTGGTCTCCTTTTAGGAGTTTTCTTAACACAGTGGCTTATTTTCTTTTTGTTAGATGATTTCACAAGCAAAAGTGTGTGGAATCGCCAGTGAATCGGAGACAGTGAAAAGGCTTCGCTTGGCTGTCATAAATAAAGATTTTACTTTCAAAGCAGGACAATGGTAAGAGCCCCTCATATCTGAGGGGGAAATTCCAGCAGAGGACAAATATAATAAAATGCTGAAAGATTTATGATTTTGTTAAATATGCTAGTATTGATTTTAAGAGGGCAAAAATGGATATTGTTTGAATATTTGAATGTATTCTTTGAATATTTTTTTCAGTACTTTGCTCTAATTTATGAATGTTACAGTATTTCTGCAAGAGTAGCACACTGCACTTTGTGAGCCACTGTTACAGTCTTTATTTGCTAGTCATCTTTATAGTGAAACAGATGCGAATGGTGTGGATTTGCAAGTTATTTTATTGGTACTACAATTCTATTATTAACTCAGAATTGCCCAATATCCTGTATTTATTTTCTGAAAGTTCCTTATCTGGAAATTAAGCCTGATAACTCAGTTTAATATGTATATGGCTATATCAAAGTAATTAATTAAAAACAAACTAATTTGATGTTTTTGAAATAGTAATCTATATTACTTATACAGCTGTTATGTTGGGGTTTTGTTTGTTTGTTTTCAGACTCGTAGTGGATTTTCTTGTTTATCTTCCTTCTTTATTAAAAATACTTGTCCTCCTTCACTTTTTTTTTCTCTTAAAGATTAATTTAGAACTATGACTAGTTGCTTTTGACACTGGTCATTTAAATATTCTTAAACTTTTTTTTTTTCTTCTTTGATTTGGCCGGCTGAGAGTGGTTTTCTTGGAATCAAAGTATAGTTGCTAGGGTATTAACAGCATATGTTACTCATGTAGTGTTAATATGCTGGCTTTTAAATTTAGAACCAGAAGACAAGATGCTGATTGCAATAATTTCTGTTTGTGAAGTAATTTGATGCAGTTTTTGCACATGTGCAGTGACTCATGTTAAGTTTTTGCTTGCCTGTACTTGGAAAATGCATTTACCCTTCAAAAATGCTTTAGCAATTATCACGCTGAAAGCTTTAATTATAATTACTTTTTCATTTTCTTCCTTGAAAGTATTCTAATGCTATTGTAAGGCATGCAACAGCTTTTCTATACTTATAGCTATAAACTGTGGTCACATTTTTTGATGAGCAGTAAGAAAAATTGGGCTACAATTTCCTCAGTAGAAAGGGCTAACTTGTTAGAATTTGCTATAGTAAGATGTTACAGCCAAAGTTTATAACTACAGTGTATTTCAGAGTGTTTTAATTATGTAGTTTTTCATAAGCAAAAGTGAATTTGTTTTGCAAGCATGCTAGTAGGTTTTGGTCTTTAACTTAAATTCAAAATGGATGACATTATTACTTTAATATTTTCAGGTTTATGAAAATGCTTCCTCTAGCAGTTACTAATGACTTTATTTCCTCAATTTTTTGGCTCAGGTAGCATTTAAAATGAGAGAAATGGAGAAAACAACAACAACAACAACAAAAAACCACCCAGCTCTTCTGTGTTTCTCATCTATTTCTCTCTCTTTTCTTTTCCCTATCAGTTTATGCTTTTTTTTGCCCCTGGAACTATTCTTTTCACTTATACTGTTACTAATAAGATTTTTGAATTTCTTACTGTGCATAGCTAAAATTAGGTAAGCCATCGGAAATACATGCTAGGCCACTATGTTATAATATATACAGTATAATATATTTCAGAGCACTGAAATCTCTTATATCTGTGTAATTGGGAAAGAAATACTAACAAAAAGAAACATATGCCTCATAGCAATTTAGAAGGTAAAATTACATTGAGATTTTACGTCAATGTTCGTGTATATGTATTTCCCTGACACAAATAATATCTCCCTTTAATTTCAAGGAGTACATTCTTGATTGATTCCAGATTGTCAGTTTACCACATATATATGTGTGTGTGTGTGTGTATGTATTTTTTTACAGTAGTCAAAATACTAAGATTATTTTCCAGCAGAGGGTGGTAAAGGGCTTTGCTAGCTGCTGGAGGTGCTCTTTCATCCAGTAAATGCTGCCACAGAGGAATCCTACTCAAAAATCTCTTAGATCCTTCCTGCCAGAGAGGCTGAGCCCAGGGTTCAGTGGGGCTGCAGAAGCTGGGAACAGTGGAATGGACCAACTGAGTGATTTTCCTATCAGCAGCCTTCTTAGCTTCTTCTGGGTGCTAACTATTTATTTGCAGTCTGATACCTTTCTGAGCCCTCACTAGATTTAGATGTCAGGTGTTCTTTTTTTTTTTTTTGCTTTCTTTCTTTTTTAAATATGGGGGTCTTTAAAGGTTTGGGTAGTTGTAGAGGTTCAAATGTTAGATAATAAAGTATTTTCTAACTTTTTTTTTCTGATACTATTTGGAATATCAAAATTTTATGAAAATGAATTCCTGCCCACATGTAGTAATGACTTGTCTTCCATACTTCCTAACTGCAGAAAGTTAGCTGTATGTTACCCTCTAAGTCTGTAGCAGGTCATGCATCGTTCAACTTCACTTCAAAAAAAAAAAAAAAAAAAAAAGGTAATTTACTCCAGTCCAATTTTCTACTAGAAAAGCACGTCTGCCATGAGAGGGCAGTGTAGTTCAACATGTAAAGCAATTCTGCTTACTGTAGTCACTGACTTTTCTTGTCAAAAATATATTACACACTGTGGTTTACCTTCACATATTTTGTCTTCCCAAGGAACAAAAGCATGCAACCAAGAGCAGCTTCTCTAAAATCAGTTTCTCTTGTGTTTGATAATTAAAGGGAGCAATAAAAGCATTGAAAAGAGTAGGATCTAAACCATTTTGTTGGACTATACTGTGTTTTTTATGACGTTTTTCCAATATGCTGTGTGTTTTCTAATTAAATACAATTCTATTTCCTCTCAAGACATTGCATCTAATGCTAAAAGCTGAGCAGCATAAAAATCTGCTAGTTTAATAGAGGATTTTTTTTTATATTTGCTTGATGACATGTACTCTAGATGAAGATAATTCATGTAAGAAGGTGTTACTCAAGCTGGAGCCCTTAGTGTTTTTGGAAGTGGTCTGAGATCATTGTAAAGAAAAGATAATTGAAACAATAACCAAATATTGTTGCAAACAGAGTGGCTGATTTTGTTTTCCATATGTGTTTGTTTGTTAACTTTTCTTTCTGGTCAATATTCAGGGTTGATTTCTTTATTCCTGGAATTTCTGTAGTTGGAGGATTCTCTATATGTTCAAGCCCTGGCCTGTTGGAACGAGATGGGATATTAGAGCTAGCGGTCAAGAATGCTCTTCATCCTCCTGCTCACTGGATTCACACGGAGGTAAAAGATAGTAAATGTTGATGGTGAGATTTGCCTTTTTTTGTCTTTTAAATTTCATACCACCTTCTGTTATGGATTGCAAAAATCCTGTTGACGTATTCAGTCAGTTTAAATATAACATAAAGGTTATGTTCTCCAAGAGCCTGAAACAAGACACTGACGTGGTAATTTCGTTATTGTGATCTTCTGACTTGGTTCGTGGTCTGAGGATTCACAGTGTTACTGCAGTCAGTGTCTCTAAGGGCTGTAATTCCTCTGGAATTCATGCCCTGAAAAATATTAACTGCTATTTTTTCAGCAGGTTTTTTTTTTTTTTTGCCTTTCTCTCCCTTTTTGTCACCTTCTCTGTCCTTTATAAAAATCTGTATAGTATAAAATGAGTTGTTTTCTGCTCCTATTTGTTCTGTTAATGTACTGTGATACAGAAGAACTTGTCTGATTTCCTGGTTACTTCAGCTTCACCCTTTGTATAAATATAGGTGGCTAAGCTGGAGTAGAAGCAATACTTGTGTACCACGAAGATATTGCTCAATATATTTTATTCATTATAGCTTTAGTTTTCAAAAAACTTGCTTTGACGTGTTTCTTTAAGAAATCATCAACAAGTAGAGGATGAAGAGAGAACGTTTTTCTCTGACTTGTTTTTTTTCTTCCGTAACTCTGATGTAGCAAGGGGAAAAGTGACTCTACAAGAAATTTTTTTTAGGAATGAGAATAGAAAAAACTTTCCAAGTACGTGTAACTCAGTCTGACTTCCTTCTTTGACTTCATAAAAATGCCCTTTTTTGACATGAAGCAGGGTTTGGGTAAAAGTGTGATCCCTCGTGTTCACCTTTGGTCTTTACAACCACGTGCTGCCTGGATTGTTTCTTTCTCAGTTCTCTTGGGCCAGGGTGGGGGAAATCACCGTCTTGCCTCTGTCATAGCCTAAGCGTGAAGCTAGACCCCAAAAAGCCTGAAACAACCAACTTCAGATAACCGTAGACTATATTTTTTAAAAATCTACAGTTTTATCTCATTGGTAAAATAGAAATCAAAAATCACACTCTGAAGTGCAGCTAGTTTTGTGACTTGATGGTGCAAGAATGGTATTTCCACCTTTGCTTTTGGTTCTGCAATTAATACCTCCTTTTGCATCCCAGTGTGCTCCTGGCTCAGAGGTGGCTCTGCGAGTGGGAGGCGATTTCTTCTTCGATCCTCAGCCCGGGGACCCCCCTGTGAAAGTTGTGCTTGTAGCAGGGGGTGTTGGAATTAACCCGCTCTTTTCCATACTGCTGCACGTGGCAGATCTTCATGAATCTCAGGAGCGTAAAGGAGGTGGATACAAAATGGGAACTGTGAGCCTCTACTACAGTGCAAAAAATACAAATGAACTCTTATTTAAGGTAAATAAAGCAAAACTAGAACTCATTTATTCATCTGTGGTGCATGTATCACTCTACAGGCAAATTACGGAGGACCTCCTTGTGAGGCACTGTACAAATAGAGGCCAAAGTTGCTTCCTGCGCCAAATCTCATGTGCATTTTGTTTTATTACTTATCCCAGAATACAAATAAAGGAGGTTATTTGTCTTACCTGATTTTCAGTGACCTCAGTGATAAGCCAGTTTGCCTTAGATGTCTACATTTTACTATCATCTCCTAATGGTATCACAGTATTCTAGAGATTTTATATGAACATGCATATATACTTAATAGTATATTCAATATTTAATAGTATAACTGCGTTATCTTAGTTCAGATTGTACTCAATTTAAAGACTAACAAGAGCAATTGCATCCAAAGGAAATACTTTATAAAATCATAGGGAGCTTTGCTGATAAAAACATTACTGTAGAGAATGCAAGCTGTACAAGTTGTTCTTGTAACACTGTTGATACTAGGACTGCACTAACATCCACAGAGGAGGGAGGGATCAGCAGCCAGTGAGGACCCTCGTAACATTTGGGTTAAACTGAGCACATCTTCTGTAAAGAGGCATCCCTAATAACCTAGGTTTCCTTGAAAAACCTAGGTTTTTCCTCGAAAAGCCAGTTGCTGGTCAGGAAGGGCAACGTAATGAACTGGAACCTGCCAGTCCCCCTTCCTGTTCTACACGTGCACAGTTGGTGCCTGGCATTTCCTAAAAGCCCCCTTCAGCAGTGCCCTAGCAGCAGGGTTCTTGTGTGGAGCTTCAGGAGGAGAGCAGCACAGGGGTGTTCTGCCGTGTTTCAGATGCTTCCTGTTTTCTTCACGTGTTCCTGTATCTAGAACATGTGTGTGAAAAAATCTTTACCTCTGCGCACAGACTTGCGGAAGCAGCATCACTAGAGGGATTATGTTGTTGGGAGATGCATCCGTAGCTCTCAGATACAGATGTATCTGTGAGGGATGGGGCCAGACTGTTTGCAGGGGTGCCCAGTGACAGGGTGAGAGCAATGGGCACAAACCGAAACACGGGAAGGTCCATTTGAATATAAGGAGAAGCTGCTTTACTGTGAGGGTGATTGATGGATTTTCATGATGGGGTGAAGTGAAAGCGCTGGGGTTTGGTGGTAACTCACAGCTGTGAATTAGGGAACTGAAAATTACAAAGTTTCTACTTGGGTTAAAAAAATAATGTTGACATTACATTGTAGCTGTTTTGCCTTGAAGAAGAAAAGTGGAGCAAAGGGTTTAGTTATCTTGCCCGATCAGCAACTCTGACTTAAACTTCCTAAAATCTAGTAAAATCAAAACCGGAGGGTTTTTCTTTGTTTTTAATGGAAAGCCATTTGCAAGTAGGAGGAGGAAGCTGGGAGAGCTTACATGGGAAGAAACCAGAAAAGGACATAACTGGTTCTCAGATCCAAGTGCTTGACTACAGCCACTTAAAAAAGAAAGGGAAAAAAAAAGAGGAGAGCAGTAGTGACATAGCTGGCAGCATAGTGTATTTGGATTCCAGGTACAGAACTCCTGGGAATTTGCACTTTTAAATCAAGTCCCCTGAGCTCTGAGAACTGGAATTCTTGGTGCTCAGCAGTAACCTGGGGTGTTCTGAGCTTGCTTGTGCACATGTGGTTTGATGTAATGGCCCGGGGTATAAGAAAGTGTGTTGAACATTACAGAAAAACATTCTTGGCCTGATGGATGCATTTCCTGGAAAGATCATGTGTCGTTTCCACGTCACTCAGCAGCATTCCCAGATCTGCAGAGAACTCCAGCCACATGTCACAGGTAAAGAAATGGCAGCACACAGAGATTCCTGGAGTGTTCTAGAGAATCAAGCTTAATATAATAACCTCTAGTGTGTGTTTCCATGCATCATTTAGTATCTTTACCTTTAAAGATTCCAAATCAAATGCAAGTCAAGACACAAATAAGAACATTTCTATATAAAAACCTAAATTTCATTATGCCTATTACACTATGGAGAAAAAGGACACTTTTTCAACTTTTCTTTTCATGTGTAGTAAATGTTCCCTGTGTACTGAATTTGCACTGTTAAATCTGAACTTCATATGAGTAATTTTCACTGAAAATTTTGTTCCAAAATCTAGTATTTCCTGTCTAGATTTATTGCTTATGGCAGGATTGATGAGGAGCAAGCTGACAGCTTGTAAGAGATACTCTGTCATGCTTCCATTTTTGTTGTACTTGGATTAAAGACATACTTGCTGCTTTTTTTCATCAACTGTGGGATTTTTAGTTGGATGCAAGCAGTGTTCCTGTTAAATGACTAATATTCCATGTGTTCCAACTGGCCGTACTCATCTAATTTAGATGAGTAACCACAGAAGAAAAGTGGTTTTGGAGCTCTCAAGCCTTGATGCCAGTCCTTCAATAAGTCTGATTTATTTTTGAGAAATGAGTGTTTGAAGTAACACTAACCATTCTTTCTGAAATTACTTCATGCTTATTGTTCTTGCTTCTCATTTCTTTGTTAGAGGGAAGAATATCTGAAGAGGATCTAAAAAAGCATGTATCTAAGGATACCCTATGGTACATCTGTGGGCCACCTCCAATGATAGAATCTGTATCCAGACTACTAGCAAATATTGGTGTTCCTCAAGACTGTGTTTTCTTTGAGAAATGGTGGTAGCCACAGCTGTTGAACAGAAAAAAAATATATAGTATTTGTTTTCATTTTATTTTGGTAAGGTAAAATGTACAGAAAATCGACTAGACTTAACTGCAAAATTTCACCCCATACCTGAAGCCACCCTGAATCATGATGGTGCTCCCTAGATGTAACTATAATGTATCTTTAATACAGTGCTGCTACTTCAGGGAAAAAAATAAAGTAATTTTATATTAAAAATATTAACTCTTGTGGTTTTTACAGGGTGTGCTTATTTATTTTGATAGCAGCGTATTTTCACTTTATCCACACATTTTATTAGCTTTAAAAAAAAAGATTTTCAGCGCTCAGGTTTAGTTGTAGAGAATTAGATGCACAGCAATGACAAGTCAGATTATAATAAATAATAACTGAAGCCCCAACCTCTGAAGCTGCTCCAAGTTGTGCTAATGAGTCGATACCCTCCCTTCCACATGCCTAGATATCCAAGTACATTTTTATAAAAGTAGGGCTGTTGTGTTGTGGCTTCCAGCATCTGTCACTTCTTGTTAAAAGAGGAAGGATGACTTTAAGTCATTGTCAGCTGTGCTGACAATAAGAGACACTTCTTTATATTCAGACTTGAGTTAATAGGAGTGATGTGTTAAGGACCCTGCCGGCCTGCGCTGGTGTCTGCAAAGCTGGAAACCTGGAAGGAGCTCCCTGGCCCTGGCGCCTCCCCTGCACCTCTGCAACAGCAGCAAGGACCAAGCCAGAGCTGGAGCTGGGAAGCTCCGGAATCCCCCTGCGCAGTGCCAGCTTGTTCGGAAACGTCCTAGGAAGTTCCATTGGGTTCAGCTGCGCATCATGTTTCTGATAGCTGCGCCCTTCCCAAAAAGATCTCTTTCTTCCCCCTTGCTCGCAGAGAAACAGAACTGCGGAGAAGAGGGGAAGGGGGAGCTGTTTGGTTACAGTCAAGGAGCTAGTGCACAAGTTTGCTGCCGTGGGTGCCCCCTCTGCTGAGGCCAGGCTGCTGAAGCATCGCTACCTGGGTTCTACAGCAGCACTGCTCGTGTCAACAGCTCCAGAGTTTTCCCCAGATCCCTTCCTGCTCCTTGAATAAAAAGGGCACTGCCCCAGCTTCAGTTTTCTCTCTCAAGATACTTACTTAGATGTGAGCTTGCTGAGACCAGCTGCTCCTCTTGTTGTCCTATCTCAGAGGCCCAAGACAGTGTTTACACTTGAGGCTTGCAGGCCACCTACCATCATAGGCCACCACTGATCTCATCTTTGAGAAAGATGGTGTGATCAGTATCCGAGCAAGAAGCTGCTGTTAACGTGGGGTGCAGCACAGAGAGTCACTGCTGCTGCTGCAGGAGACTTGTCTGAACATGCAAACAGATACCCAAAGCCCTACAGCAAACTGAGCTTTTCCAGAGAGAAATCCAGAGCTAACTGCAATTCAAGACAGGCCACTGAAGGAAAGGAGGGTGCGTGGCAGATCAGCGAGGGGGCTGGAGATTGGCCTCGGGCTTTTGGACAGCATGGGAGGGTTTGCTCCTCGAAGTCACCCCCTGGGAACCGTGGACATGGAGGCTTGGGGGGTACCCCCTTCCCGCCCAAACATGAGAATGATTCCTTATGAGTACCTGTATGGCAGGGCTGCCTGCTCGTTCCCTCCGGAGCGTAACAGGACGGTGTTTACACAGGGGACACCAGGAAGAAGAAGGATTTATTTTTTGTTTAGAAAGATGAGTGACATGTCAGAGATGGATGCTCAAAGGAAGCGGGCTTTTTTTTTTTTTTTTAAACATTTCAACAATGTAATAATAAAAAAAGAGTTGAGAAGCCTGTAAATGTTGTTTTCACAGTGACTTTTAAATGATGAAATGGATTATAAACTGCTTTGCCCTTTTCCTTAATGCACATCCTCTCTGCAGTCCAAATGGCATTGTTCACAAACCACTCCTCGGACTGCACCAAACGTCCATCTCATAAAAGGCACTTCACAACCCTTTGCTTCCTCTAAGGTCCCTTTCCCTCTAACCTCTTTCTGTCACCCCCCGTTATACTCAGATCGAGAGATCCAGGGCACAGACGTCTCTCTAATTGCATGGTAAAACCAGCTTGTGTGGCATTACACCCCCCCAAACAGCAACCCTCCCCAGATCGGTTTGTGAACAAGCAGTTCGTTCTTACCTAGAGCATTACCTGCCACAAAGCAGGGAGCAGCTCAATTCCCTAACACCACCCAGAACCTGCATGTGCATCTCCCCAAGAACCCCGGGGTTTGCTAAGAGCCCCACAACAGCAGCGGTTCCTCCAGAGCTTTTGCCTGTTGGGGCTTAGGGATCTTCTGGGAGCCTCCTCTTCCTATAGCTTCATTTAACATGAAACACTAGATTCACTTGAAATTCTATTATTTGCTCTGACTCTACCATAATTGAGGGGGAAAAAAAAAAGGCAAATTACCCATATGAGGATATACCCTACAAATAAGTGTGTACCAGATTATGCTTATAGGGAACATAAAGCAACCCCTGCTGTTTGAAAGCCGCCGACTTCATCTCTTCACATTGTCACATCATAACTTCCAGCCTTAGAAAATGTTTATTCATCCTATGCTTGTATAATCCCCTAGAGAAAGTTGAATGAAGGTAGACAAGAGTGACATTTACATTTCTCAAAAAAGGAAAAAAAAAAATTAATAAATATGTGTGTCCATCTATATACTTAAAACTGAATGTTATGGATTGGAAGTTACCTGCTGTGACAGCTTTATTAGATTGAATCATTTTTTCTTGTTCCAGTGACATTTATTTTACTTGGATTGTCATGTGCTCATCTGGTACAAAGAATATGAAGTATTCCTATAGACTTTGCATTAATTAACTGAAAAATAGTGACTACTCCACTACCATTACATCACAGATACCCACTATTTCAGTTAGTAGGGTGCTTTCATGGGGAATAAAAGAAAGCACTTTTAAATCGCAAAGCCTTTTTTCCCCCCCTTCTGTATATGAGTAGGGTACTGATTAGAGTCGACTACCCCATTCAACGCCACAGGTACCCTTCTGTTGTTGAAGGGTAGCTTTCTTTTTTTAAAGCTTTTTGCCATTTACAGCCCTGAAGACATCAACTGTCTCCACAAGTCCTAATTCACAGGTGCGTTTATACCACTGGCCAGCACACCTAATAGCTCTGAGAAGCATTTATCATCAAAAAGATCAGTTTCCGCTCTTTTTAGACACTTCAGTTCTCAGCTGATGGAAATCCTGCATGAGCATCTGCTCTTGCTTTAGTCCTGCCCAGTATTTGGCTCCCTGGGGCACAGGGACAATCATGGCAACTGCAAAGGCTAAGCAGGGCAGCCCGGTGCAGAGCCCTTCGAGTTACCTCTCCTCACCTCAGGAATCAGGGCTGATATAGGAGCCAATTTAGAGAGGGGGGAAAAAAAAGAATATATACACACACACACACACATATTATATATATAGTTCTGTACTCAGCTTCATTTCCATTCATACATTCAAACTACTTTGAGCTATTTCCATGATTCGCTTTCAAACACACAGATCTAACACATTGAGGTAAAGCACCAGCCACATCGCTCACACCTTCCACTCCTCCTAGTCTTTGCATGAGCCGTTTTAGTCACAAAGCCTCAAAATTTTGGACTTTCAGCTGTTTGTTACAGTAGCAAAAGCCTCTCTCAGCCTTTATTTAATTCACCCAGCACTTTTTTTCCCCTATCTCTACCAGTCTTTGACACCTCCTTACTTGCCCGAGCTGCATTTCTTCCTTTCAGCTCCTCGCCTTTCATGGCTCTTCCTTCCTTGGACAACGAGGAGCCCCGACCACCTCAGGGCTAAGCGAGCAAAGACACATGGGGTGAGCTCAGCCCAGCCACTTCCCTTCCCCATTCAGGCTCCATCAAAACACCCCACACTTGATTTCGCTTTCTTGGCCCCTACAAGCCAAAGTGCTCCAAATTTCTAGCCCCAAAGGCCGCTGAGGCACTAGAAGCCCCCGCAGCTGCCACACATCAGCCCTGCGTTGGGCACCCGAATCCCGTTGGTGCCACCTGCCTTCAGGAGGAGTTAGGCTTCCCCAGCCTCCTTGAGAGAGGAGGTGGAGAGAGCACATGCAGAGCCCTAGACAGCTGAGCTAGCCTAGGGCCAGGCAAAATCACAAGTTGGGTTTGATTATGTGACTGTAAAACCAAAAACCACCCGCCTTTTTTACACAGCAAGCAGAAAGATGCCCACGTTCCTTCCAGTTCTTCTTCCCACCTTCCCAGCTCCACAGCAGTTGGGGGAATGAAGCTTTTACTGACACTTGCAGCTAAAGGAGCGTCACCTTCTCTGGAGCCTCGTGGTCCCCTCGTGGTCCCGCCACCTCCCCAGCATTAGTGACTCCTGGCAAACCACCCCTCAGCGGGGAGCCCAAGGTCCTTCCTTGGCACTTGTGTAATCACCACAAATAGGAAACCTCCTCAGGAACTTTATTTCTCTTCAGTTTTGAAAGCAGTTGGGATCCAGTCAAACAAGCCAGATGATTGCAATCCAGTAAATGCCTTCTGTTCAAACTGGACAAGTTCATTATATTGCAACACTTTCTACTAGCAAAATGTTCATTAAATACAGTGATCTTTTTTTTTAAAAAAACAAGATTAGTATAAAGCTAGTCCTTAAAACAGAAACCATCGGTAAAATGATGCTATCCTACTAAGAACTGCAGACAACTACTACTAACTTTCCAGAGCACAGACCTTGCATTTAAGCAGAATAAACAAAATTTTTGAGCCTATGGGAGCTTCAGTCCAATCTTGAGAAACAGAATGAACTAATTGAAAAATACCACAAGAAATTCAAGTTATTTACAGTCATGTGGTTAAACCACTAAATTCAAAATAAATACTCTTCAATCAATGAAAAAAGTACTACCATGCTTTCTATGTGTGAAATGCGATGCTTTCAACTTAAGTGCCATTATCCAAATTAGATGAATATTCAAAATGCTAGTTTTTTTTTTCCATCCCTGCAATGTTCTGCCAATTGCAGGATTTTTTTTAGATGTGGAAAGCCCTTTTGAAACCATTCTAAATGTGCATTTGATGAAAAACACATTTTTTTTTCTTTGTACAGCATTTTGATCTGAATTCTAATGAAAATTATTAGGCACAAATTAGCTAAGGGAAAAAATAATATACTACTTACAGAGCTCTTGCTTAAAAAAGTGGGGCAGGGAAATGTAGAATATATTTTTCACCTTATTACCAGACTACTTAACGACTGCTGAATAGGAATGTAGGTAGTGTTGCTGGTTAAGGAAGAGAGAAACATGGACTTCTTAACACTTCTAACAATACTGCAGTATTTGGAGAAGATTGATATATTTTAGACAGCATACTAAATATGTGCATGTTACTTGTAATTATCCGAATATATCTCCAAAATTAAAAATGTGGGTTATTTTGCAGAATTATGTTTTATGTATCAGTCCCCAAATTTGGTTACTTGCTGCATAAAAAGGCCCCTCTCTTAATGTCTGTCTGTCCCACAAGGACACTCCGTGACCTGTGCTGGCCACTGACCTCTGCTATTCGCACGTCATTTCAGTTCTTTCCCACAACACATTTTCTAACAAGGAAGTGGTGAAGAATCATGTGGAAGGGTTGGGAGGCGACACCTAATGCCGTTTTTAGAGAAGATTCGCATTGAAAGCAGCACATTTTACACGCGCTCCTTCTGCTTTCCTATTTTCTGAACCCCCAGCAATTGTTAAATTGTTGATTGCCAACAGGATATAAACATAAGAGAACAACGAGAAAAAAAGATATCTCATTTTAGAAAAAGAATCTCATTTTATATTAGAATAATTTGCTTCTCTCAAATTTATTAGGGGAGTTGCTTACTGAGGGTACCTACTACACGTACATGGCCTTCTTATTGCTTTAAATGTCTGCAACAGTTAATAAAATTCAGAAGAGCATTATCATCAGTAAATGTTACTCAAGGTAAACACAGACACAGCCATCTCCTCTGGGCTTTCCAATTTCAGCCCGCTGAAGCCCAAATACCATTTCCATGACACTACAAGCTTAACGATGAAGCAACATAGGGCACAATACCTTTTTCCAGCAAAGATATGTTGACAGAAACGCGCTACAGAATAAAATCTGGCCAGCTGGAATGTTTGCCTTGAATTAGATACAAACCCAGTTGGCTAAGGGCGGTCGCAGAGCAAACGCAAGCTGGTTTCTGTCCCTGCTTTTAATTTTGACTGTGTCTTTACAGGACAGCAGGACGACGAAATTTTGCAATAAATTGCTTTTTCACTTTTAGTAAAGCCAACAAAATTTTGCAATTAGCCCCTGTGGGTCAAAAAGCCCAGGCCCTGCGGTTACTTAAGACATGGAGAAACTGGTGTGAAGTAAGTACAACGCAAAAGGAGCAAAATAAGCACGATGCCAAAGAAAGGCAGAACGGAGCGTTACTGAGGGCGACTAGCAAAATCTGCTCTTTTGTACTGGCAAAACACAGGCAACTCACGGGGCTCCTGAAAGGCAGCTCTTACTCGCTGGAGAAGTCCCCGCTCGGCGCGCAGCCGTCGCCACC